ATTATGGATGTTTTTCATGAGTTCTATGCAACTGGGAAGTTTGCTAGAGTCTTGAATTCTAACTTTTTGGTGCTTATTGCAAAGAAGAAAGGGGCGAAGAATATTCGAGAATTCAGACCTATAAGTTTGTTGGGGGCATATATAAGATCATTACGAAGATGTTGGCTCATAGACTTACTAAAGTTTTGAGTGAAATCATTGATGAATGTGAATGTGCCTTTGTAGCCGAAAGGCAAATCCAAGATGCTGTCCTTGTGGCCAATGAAATTGTTGATGATATTACAATGAACAAAAAAGAAGGATTGGCTTGTAAGTTGGACATGGAGAAGGCGTATGATCACGTGAACTGGAACTTTATGGATTACTTGCTGCGTAGGATGGGGTTTGGAGATAAATGGAGAGGATGGATGAGTACTTGCATGAGAACTACTTCATTTGCTCTTTTAATAAATGGAGGACCATCCAAATTTTTTTCGGGGTCCAAGGGTTTGAGAGAAGGGGATCCATTGTCCGCACTGTTATTCATCGTTGTTATGGAGGCGTTAAATGTATTGTTAGTTAGGGCGAAACAGGTTCAGCTCCTTAGAGGTGTGGAGATTGGCAGTGGCGACGGGGTGATGGAAATTTCTCATTTATTCTTTGCCGATGATACCTTGCTGTTTTGCCATCCAGAAAAGCGATTCCTCCTGCATTTGAAATGCATCCTTCTATGTTTTCAAGGCGTCTCGGGGCTCAACATCAATCTTGATAAATCTGAACTTGTCAATCCTGGCAACAAGGGGGATGTTAGCTCTCTTGCAAGGGCGCTGGGGTGCAGAACTGCAAAACTCCCTATTAAGTACCTTGGGGTCTCGTTGGGTGCTAAGTACAAGGAGAAGAAAACTTAGGAACCGGTGATTGATTTGCTCGACTCTAGACTGACGGGATGGAAGAGGAATTTCTTGTTTAAAGGGGGGCAGACTCACTTTAATAAGGCGTACCTTGGCAAATTTACCCGTTTAATTCCTCACAACTTTGACTATCCCGGTTAATATTGCAAAAAGACTGGAATCCATCCGATGTCGTTTCCTTTGGGGCGATGGAGATGGTAGCAAGAAGTTTCATCTTGTTAAGTGGGAAGATGTGAAGAAACCCATTCATGCGGGTGGCTTGGTAATTCGATCACTGGTTGGTTTCAATAAAGCTCTACAAGGTAAATGGCTGTGGAGATTCTTGAGAGAAGAAGGAAGAATGTGGAGAAGGGTGATTACTGCTAGATGGCAGAATTGTGCTTTAACAGGTGAGGGCAGGGTGGACAAGAGAGGTCATGGACTGGGTCTATGGAAGAAAATCAAGATGGGATGGCCTGGTTTCAAGGAGAATCTGATTTGGAAAGTGGGAAGAGGGAATGACACTGGATTTTGGCATGACACTTGGTTAGAAGGAGGTTGTTTAAAGCAGTGTTACTCAAGAATTTACGCGATCGCACAAGTCAAAGATATGCGTAGGAGTATAATCAATGTATTTGGACTATTAATTTGAACAAAAATTTGAATGACTGGGAAGTGGAGGAGTATGAAAATTTATTGAAGAAAATTTCTGAATTTCAAATGGGCAATGACCCAGATCAGGTGCCGTGGAGGAAGAGTAAAAATGGCGAGTTTTCTGTTGGCTCTTACTACCGCATGTTAATGGGGTACAAGCTGAATAACTATCCATGTTTTCCGAGTAAAGCAATTTGGAAAAATTCTGCACCACCTAGAATGGCATTCTTCGCCTGGGAGGCTTGTAGGGAAAACATATTAACCTTGGATAAACTGAAGTCTAGGGATATTACACTTGCAAATGGATGTTTCGTGTGTCTTAGGGATGAGGAAAACTGCCGCCCCCTTTTGCTTAGATGTCCTTTTGCTTCTGATTTGTGGAGTTTGGTATGGCTTGCTTCGCATTTATTGGGTCCCTGCTGGATCGATTGAGGATGAAATACGGGCTTGGGAGGGTGTTGGACTAAAAACAGAAATTGTGAAACTCATCCCTCTATCCATTTTTTTGGTTTTATGAAAAGAGAGGAACTTGAGAGCTTTTGAGGGAGTTGTGAATAATATAAATAAGTTAAGAGATAGATAATTCAATTATTTTGGCTTTCTTGTGCTAGGTCATGACACCATCAAGGCTGAAGATTTTAGGGATACTCTTGATATACTAACTTATTTGTAAATATCTTGGAAATGGGCGATACCCCCTCTTTTTTGGTATTATACTAATATAATTTCAATACTTTTTCTTTCAAAAAAAAAAAAGTGAAACTACAAAAAGTACTTATGGTGCAACATAAGTAACGTTACTAACTAGGATTAAATTTAGAAATATTGAAACTAAGAAAATACTAAAACTATAATACTCCTAAATAGTATGATAATATACTCCTAAATAGTATAACAAAGTATTGTATTTAATAGAGTTATACTTTTTAATCTATTTAGGTGTCTCCTTTTTTCTGTCATGCGCACATAATTCTCTTGTGGAATAAAATTGCTTGAGGTTCAATTTTGGTTTTTTTTTATTGTTAAAAAATTTTGCGCCTCACCAACTTTACTGCGATTCCAAATTTCTTATTTATTTCATTTTTCTTTCATTTTCTAGATCCAGCACCCAAGGTCACAACTGAATAGGTTCGATTTGGTGATCACACCACGCCATGATTTTTATCCTTTGACTCCTCAAGGGCAGAAGCAGGTTCCTCAGTTTCTCCGGAGATGGATAATTCCACAAGAACCGCCTGATGGTCATGTGGTACATATCTGAACTATAAAGTTCTCATATATGGTAGGACTTCTTGAGGAATTTTATCTTAACTCTGGAATTAGCATTTTAAGCTTATGATCTAAGCTTTCAACTTCAGGTTCTCACATCAGGAGCTTTGCATCAAATTGATTCTGCTGCACTGCGCACTGCAGCTAGTGAATGGCATGGTGATTTTGCTCCTCTGCCGAAACCATTACTTGTGGTTAATATTGGCTGGTCTACAGGTAATTGTCATTTTACCTCGAACTTCTAGTATTTATTAAACTGTCGTGATCCAAGTGATAAGTATTATTATATGATTGTTTTCTTTTTTAGATCTTAGTTTATTCTTGCCAAAGTAAGCTTTATTAAGATGTTAATATTTAGGTGATATTTTGTTAATATTCTTATACTAAGCATGTTGATAGCTTGAGGTGGTATTCACGTGGAAAAAATCTTTTTTTTTTTTTGAAATATAAAATATGAATTATATTGATATAACCACCAAGGGAGTGCTCCCTATGTAAAAAATTTATAAGTAAATTAATGTATCAACAAGTTTCGCTAAATCTGCCGTACAGTTAAGATGGTGACTCTATAACAAAAATCAAGGGTCTGGAATCATCTATTTTTAAGGATATCAAAACCATTTATATCCCCAATCCCATCAAAAGTCCTTCTATTCCTTTATTTTCACACCACACAAAAGATAGAGAGTGGAATTATATCAACTTGTTTTTGTCTGTCGCTGACACTCTTCCGCGCCCAAATTTCTTCTCTCATCGAGGCTGCAATAACCCAGTTAATTTCAAGCGACTCATAGACCAAGGTCCATAACTTATAAACGTCTGGACACCATAGCAGGAGATGCTTACAACCTCTTCATCCCTCTTACAAAGATAATGAGCATTAATCAATATCTTTCCCTTCTTTTTCAAATTGTCAATAGTCAAAAAACATTCCCTACTATCCTCCCAAACAAAATGGGAAACACAGGGTGGGACACTAGTCTTCCACATCTAACTGAGAAGGAAACAAATGTCATCATATTTATACTTGTACAGGTTCTTATAGACGGATTTGACTGAGAAAAACCCGTTAGATGTGAGGCTTTACCATGGAGTGTGGATGCTTCTATCCAACGAAGTAAGGGATAACAAGCCCAAAAGCTCCTCATATTCTCCAACCCCCCGAAATTGAGATTTGTCTATGTAAGTACTTACTATTCCTTCTCACCACTACTGTTCTCACTAAAGAGTCACAAATATTGATGTCTTTCTGCTGGGCTATTATATAAATTTGAGGGAAACGCTCACTCATTGTGCCCCTTTCCATCCACTGATCCTCTCACAATCTCACTCTATTCCCCCTTAGCAACCTTCCACCTTGTATTCTCCTGGAATTTTTCCTTGATTGATCTTCTTCCCCAAACTTTTCCCATGTGGTATTCCGTGGAAAAATCTGAGTTGTATCTCTTATCCCTCTAGCTATTTTTTGGGTTATATGGAAATAAAGGGATGTAGGAGTTTTTGAGGGCATTGGCTCTCCTTTTTTATAAGATTCTGTAATTGCTTCTGGATCTTAATTCATGGGCACGTCCTGTTTGGACCTATGAATTCATTTCTTTTTGTAAAAAGGAAAAATTATATAGAAACTTCTTAGAGTAGTTAAGTGCCTGCCTGAAAGTACCAAATGTGTAATAGAACAATCCGTATGTAGAAGCCCCCTAAAATGTGTTTTGTTAGTTTGGATAAGATCTCTTTGATTTACTATAGACAATATCATAGACAAATTATTGGAATATGCATATGAGCTAGTTGACCATGACTTTGTTGGCTACTGCTTGGGAATTGCTCCCTAGCCAATTGCATGGTCTATTTCAATAAATCCCCAATTTCCTCCCTCCAATTAGCAAACCTTTAAAAGAACCTTTTCAAATTCCATGTGGAATCATTCAGCTAAGAGCATCAACCATCAAAGAGGACCCATAACTACCAGGGTTTCGAACCATCTATCTCTAACCCTATCAAATTCTTCTTCCACCCTCTCAAAAACTCTTATCTTCTTCTCTTTCCACACCAACGAAAAGATAACAAAGGGAATGAGACTCACACGTTTCCTCTGTCCACAAATACCCCTCCAGGTCAAAATCTCTTCCCTCTACTACTACCCTTCAGATATGTCACTTTTTAGGAGAAACTGGAAAATAATCTGTGAAATATGATGCTTAATTATTAATTTTTGTGCTTTGTTTCTTTCATAACCATTCGATACTGCAAAATGTGCTATCTGTGTGTCTTAATCTGAATATCTGTATATGCATGTATTATGGGATATAAGATATCATTTTATTTTCTACTCTTCTAAATTATTGGCAGGTAACTGTAGATATGGTGCAGATCTTGCAAAACAGTTAACAGGCCATATTCTTAGTGTTCTTGCAAGCTGTGGAAGTGTTAGAATTTCATTCTCGAATAGGACACCTGAAAAGGTTTTCCATTTAATGATATTCCTTTGTCAAATACCATAATCTACGTGTTCCATGTGTTTTGTAATGATATTTCTTAGTCAGGTACTCATCAGAGTTTCCATGTGTTCCAATAGGTGTCAAAGTTGATTGTCAGACAACTTGATAATAATCCAAAAGTGTACATCTGGGATGGTCAAGGTATCTCCAGTCCATTTTTTAATTTAGTTTATTGATAAATATGGACGATCTAGAAAAGGTTTTCATGGATATATAATGTGATAATTTTCAGAACCAAATCCACACATGGGGCATCTAGCTTGGGCTGATGCTTTTGTCATAACAGCTGATTCAGTTCGATTAATAAGCGAGGCATGCAGCACTGGGTATGCTTTTGAGACTCTTTTGTGAAATTCCTTCAATCTTTTATTGGATGATGATTTAGGACATGTTGACGTTTGTTTGGTGTCCTCTCTTCATTGTTAATAGAAATCTAAATCTATTGTCTTCCCTTTTCCTTTTCACAGGAAGCCTGTCTATGTTCTGGGTGCTGAGCGTTGCAAATGGAAGTTAATGGATTTCCACAAGTCTCTGAGAGAGCGAGGCATGGTTCGGCCATTTACAGGTTCTGAAGATGTAAGTGTAGTCCTTATTTAATTTTTTTGAAGTCCTTTTCTTTTGGCTCTGTCTCTCATAAAGCATAATAGAAAAATGAACACCTTGCTTCCAAACAAATGGAGGAAAAACCTGCTATATATGTTTTCCCTCTTTTGTCCTCTTTTAGAAAAGAGAAAAGAAGTTTTACATAGAAAAGTTCACAAGGAATTGTGTAGAAAAACCTCCAGTAATGTTACATTAACATATTGCAGCAGATCTTGTTGAAGGTATGCCCACCTTGTTGAGCTACTTCTGTCCTCGCTCTTTTTGGTCTGTAGATTGCCCACCTTTACTAGACTTTGTGTATGTGGATTGTTCACATGCAAATGACCCTCTTGTTACAAAACAAAATCATGCTTTTACCATGAAAACCATTGAAGTTTCGTTATCTTCTGTAAGGTTAATAGCCAAATTTTTTTTATTAAGAAAAGGATATAAAACTTCTTTTGGAAAAAAGAAAAAATATAGAACTTTAAGTTATGAGAAAATTAGAAATATTGTAGTCACAAGTCTTTTTTAGGGCTCTTCCATCCAGCTCTAATACTACGAACATTTGTAACTAAATTTTTTGTTTATTAAATTATTATTCATAATATTTAATTTACAATAAATAAATATATATAGGAGAATATTAAAAAGAATTTAGTAGAAAATTAAATACAAATCAAATCTATAAAAAGAAAAGATTTTTCAGTTATGGAAGTCGACTATGATTCTATTTTATAAAAAAAATTTCTTGAAACTACCAATTTGTATAGAAATTGTACTTCTATAAAAAGTCAGGATTCCTACACTTATTGTTCTTGATGGATTTTTTAAAGCTAATGTTTTTTATAAACATTTAGTTTGTTAAATTTAGTTGAGAAAATGTGATGAGTTTGCATTAAAATTCGTGAGATTATAACTACTTTGATCTAGATTCACTTGACAAACTACTTTTGTCGCTCATCGCCTCTTTTCTAGAGGTAATAACTGAACTAATTGATAGTAATGAGAATTTCTTCAAATCACTTAAAAGAATCTTCACTTGTATTTGTCAGATATCAGAAAGCTGGAGCTACCCTCCTCTTAATGACACTGCGGAAGCAGCTAGTCGAGTGCACGAAGCTCTTGCTAATCGTGGATGGCGGCTGCGGCCTTAAAGAATCTGTCGACAATTGTTGTTGTAAGGGATTCTTTTAAATCATAATTTAAAATTTGAATATTGTTTAACAGCACACGGAGGGAGGAGGAGCCACTAGAAGCACCAATAGATTTTAAATTTCATTCTTTCCCCTTTGGGGGGGAAGGGGGGGTTTCCAGATATCGGTATAGACAATAAAAATCTAAAGCTGTATTAGAGCGCCCTTGTAAAAATAGAGAGAGGAAACTCTTTTTCTTTTTCTTGTTCTTGTTTTTTCTTTTTGTTTTTCTGTCTTTGCTGCAGTACTGACAGCTCTGGGAATGGTAAATATTCATTGTAAATCAAAAATATTGTTCGCAATTTTGTTTGATTTTCCACGGAAAGATTGTTCTGGAATGAGAAATAAGTTGTGACCTTGTTTTTGCTCATTGATATACAAGAAATATATATGTATACATGCATGCATATATACATACATACATACATACTGAAATGTTAGTTTCATGGTCATATTTATTTATCCGCCACATGTAATATTGGATGATCTATGTATCGTCATGCATATATATTGTTGAAACTATATATATATATATACAAATCTAATCCACTATACCATCGAACTACTCCTCCCTAGCTTTGTTTTTGTTTATATGATTGATTCATTACGTCGCCAAATTAATGTTCCATGATACAATACAAATCTAACCCACTAACCATCAAACTCTACATATAATAGAATTTTAATCCATTATATCATTTACTAATTTTTTTTAAAAAAAATTAAATCAGTTGATATATATAAATGCTGCATCACACTATATATATATATATATATAGCAGCTACCTCCTACAGTTAAGATCCTTGTACTAGAAAACTAATAAAACCACTCCTCTTCATATTACTAATCATCTTATCATCAAACATATACAATCAGAAAATGTCCGCCGATCAGAAGATGAGCAGCAGCACTGAAGCAACAACTATTACTCTTGATCGTCAAGAAGATGATAACTCAAAAACCACCATTAACAAAGGAAAGTCCATCAAGAGTATCGTTAACCCAAAAGCCGCCACAAGCCACAACAAAGGTTTGTCGATTCTGGACTTCGTGCTCCGACTCTTGGCTACTGCTGCTGCTTTGGCTGCGACTGCCACCATGGCCAGTACCCAACAAGTCCTTCCTTTTTTCACCCAGTTCTTTCAGTTCCGTGCCGAGTACAATGACATTCCCACTTTCAGGTCTTATTCCGTTTAACACTTCATTGTTTTTATAATTATCCATACTCGAAATAATTAACCAACAATTTTACGTATTTGCAGCTCTTTCCTGATAGCTAACGGAGTGATTAGTGGGTATCTTGTCCTCTCATTACCCTTCTCCTTCGTTTGTATCGTTCGCCCTCGCGCAGCTGGGCCTAGACTCTTTCTCATCGTCTTGGATACAGTAATCAAATAATCTGATATTAAACATGCACAGTACATAACAAATAATATATATATAATTTCGATTCAAATTTATAACGTATCTTTCATAAAAACGAAAAAAAAAATAACAACACGTATTCACTTAACTACTCGTTAATTCTTTTACTTGCATGTTATTATATCTACTACATATACACGCATGTTGCTGAACAAATGACATATTATTATAGTAACTTACATTAACTACAGTCAAACTGTAAATAATTAACAACATGATTGCGAGATTGCAGGTGATAATGGCTGTTAATTTAACGGCGGCAGCGGCGGCGGCAGCGATAGTATATTTGGCTCACAACGGGAATTCGAACGCCAACTGGTTTCCGATCTGTCAGCAGTTTGGTGATTATTGCCAGAGTGCCAGTGGAGCTGTTGTGGCCTCCTTTGTTGCAGCAGCAATCCTCTCGTTTCTGGTTCTCGTCTCAGCCTTTGCTCTAAGAAGAATGTGATCATCGTCAATTACATATATGTATGCATGGCCTTTTAATTCAGGTTGCAGTTGTGTGTGCTTGTGAAGTCATGTAATGTAAAGAAAGGAGGGTGTTAATTTCACTAATTAGTTTCCTCCTTTAATATTTGTTGTATGGGAACATATATATATATATATATATATTAGAAAAAACACATGCACATGTTCATTAATCTCAAGTTTAATGTTTTATAAGAATAGAAAAGAAAATATATATAACAATTATTAAACATCTTATATTGAATATATGAATATATTCAATAAACTAAACAATAATTCTGAATATATACGTATTGAAATTTTGAAAACAATTTTTATTTTTATATAAAATATATACGTATATTTTTTTTACAATTATAATTTTTTCATGAATTGGAGGGGGGGGAGGTCTCAAGTTCACGGGAAGAACAGAATGAGTCTGACAACAAACGAAACGCATCACTCAATCTCAACTCCTCTTACGTCACGTGTCCTAAAATGACATCTACATACCTAACCTACCTCACATGCTCTGCACGTGCTATCAACTGTCGTTACGATTCCACGTGTCAAAACAACGGCGTCGCCCCGCCGTCTCTCCCACCGTTAAAAACCCACCCTCCCGTTTTCTTCTTCCTCTCTCTCTCTCTCTCTCTCTGCGCCCAACAGACGAGTCTTTCTTTCCTTCTCTCCTTCTTCCAAGTACTGTTTTGCCTTCAAGTTACCGTCTTTTGTTGTTCTTTGCTTCCTAAAATCTCTGATAAACCATTTCCCTCGTTTACTTTTCTTAAACGCAGATCTCAATTCGGTTTCAGGCTCGCCCTCTGCCTCTCTCTTTCATCTGTGTGGTGAGTCTCGTGATTCGTACTGAGTCAACTCTTTAGGGTTTTCTTTACTTTCAGGATTATGTTTTCTTTTTATTTTCGGCGGTTTTGATCTTTGATCGCTGTCTTCCATTACTTTTTTTTTTTTATTTTTAGATTTTGCAGTTCGACTTTTCTTTATTTTGCTCTCCTCAGGTTTCCTTTTCTTGGGTGCTGAGAAACATTGGAAAATTAGAGAAACAAGATCAAGATATATCTAAAGCTTCTGCTTCTGTTTCTTTTTTATGTTTACTAAGAAAGGCGAAATTTCTTAACTGAAGTCGGTTTTTGTCTAATTGGTTTTAGAAATAGGGGATGATTAGGTTTTGAAACGTAATTTTCTTAAATTTCCTACTTTTTATCTCAGAAATCAAACAGGGTTTGATAGACGAAGTTTTTATCTCTTCTTTTTGTTTTGATTTTTTTTTTTCTTTCTGGAAATGGATGGTGTTGATTGCAGCTTGGGCTAGTGGAGGTGAACATTTTTGGGATTTTCCGGGTAAAATTCGAGTACTTAGAGGCTATTATTGTTTAAAGTTCGAGGCCTGGGTCTCATGAGAATTGTTAGGGGAATGCAGAGATCGTTTTGCGGGGAGGAGAACGTGCTGGGCTGGAAGAGATCCTTCAGCCAAGGAATTGGAGTCACCGCACCTAAGGCAAGAACGCGCGATAAACTTATTAGTAGGGTTTTCGGTGTCTAAGTTGGGGACTTTGGTAGGGTGATTGGGGCTAGGGTTTCCTACCGAATAGACATTAGACGAACCCAATGACTCGGATTTTGGTTCAACGAGGTTCCGCCGGCAGTTCTTCTTCTAATCCAAGCCGTTCTTCTTCCTTGCCTGGCTCCTCTTCGTCTCGTGCAGAAACACAGGTCACTATTGCTCCTCAGGTTCTCTCGGTTGCAAAAGATGAGGAAAGTGGTGAAGAGATGCAGGAGCAAGCTATTGCTGAGGAGACTGTTGCGAGCTGTGAAAGTAGTGATAGTAAGATGGCAAAAGGGGATGATTTTTTGATGGACAGTTTTCATAACGACAGAAATGAGATTTCCACTGGTGAAATTGCTGACAGGGAGAAATTGGGCAAGGAGGATCGTGGGGGTTCTGGAGATTTGGTTAAAGGTTTGGGGGGACTGAGGATTTCAGAGAAAATTGGAGTTGAAAATGAAGGTCCAAGTGCAGATTCTCCACATAGTGGAAGTGGAAGTCCCCATCCACCCCCACCTCCTGTTCCACCCCCAAAGCCTTCTGCTGCAAACTCCAATTCAAGGAGGTTAGCCTTGGGAAATTCAAACCCCGTGCGCATTGGACCGGCAAGAAGAGCAGTTGCCTGGCCTGTTGTTTCAACCAGAACTTCTCCATCTGGATCACGACCTTCGTCTCCCAGGTCCCATGGTGAAAATGAGGGTTACAACAGTGCTGATGAGCAGAATCAATGCTTTTCATCCTCCTATGATGATTTAGTAAGTTTCTGCAGCTATATAATTAGTTCTTTAAAATGTGTAGGCTTAGTGACATGCAATGCTCATTGTTACACTTTTCATATTCTCCATTCTAAATTTGTAATGGTGGTTCCTTTTTGCCAAAATCGCATTAATTTACTTGAAAGATGGTCATTTTCTGTCTGAATTAAGTATATTGGAACTTTTTGTTTGTATGTGCATGTGCATGTGCATGTGCATGTGCGTGTACACGTTTGAATACCGCACTTCCTCTACAATCCATTTAGGGAAGATCGGCTTATGGAACTTCTTGATTATCAGGCTCCTTATTCATGCATTTGGAGAACATACCTTTCCTGCAGTCCATTTAGGGAAAATCCTCTTATGGAATTTCATGAATATTTGGTTGCTTATTCATGCATTTGAAGAAACGCTTCTCGTAGAATCTATTTATGGAAGATATTCTTGTGGAACTTCTTGATTATAAGACTCTTGTTCCTTTACTACCAAGTGCTAGGCTTTCTTTCCTGTTTGGAATTGCTGATATGTATGTAGCTCCAGAATGTGATAGAACATATTTTCGCGTACGTTGGTTACGCAAGTTTAAGAGCTTCTCCTGTTTATTCCAGGAACGAGAACGTCAATTTGAAATTGATGTTAGGCGAACAAAAGGTCTAGAAGTGAAACGGATGTTGGAGGATGGGAATTGTCTTTTCCGAGCTGTTGCAGATCAGGTTTATGGGGACTCTGAAGCATATGATTTGATCAGACAAATGTGCATAGATTATATGGTAGGTTATTTTTTTATGGATCTTTTCTTCAAAGCATTATGTGTTATCAAGTCTCAAGATGTGTAATTACTATCTGGTCATGCTGTCCGCTGCGTTTTCAGTATTTTTTTTATCTAGATCTTGAAATCTTGCTCATAACCTAAGATGTTGAATCTATTGCAAAAACCTTGTCAAGTTCTCAAGAAGCACCATAAGGAGTTTTCCCTCTATGTTATGTGTTTTTTCGTGTAGAAATTATTGGATAATTTCTTTGCTTGGTTCTGTATTTTGCCATTGATAATTACCTGGAATCTCTGGAGACTTCTGGATGGTAGAGGCTGCTTTCTTTTTTCCTGTCCTGGAATTATGAGAACGCAGGAAAATGGGGAAGGGTGTTCAGAGTCACAAATTTGAGCTTCAGTTTTTACATAAAGATACCAACGGAAGTAGAAAAATTGAACAAATATAATTTTCTTTTTTCCCCGAAAATGAAAAGAAAGACGAAAAAAAGTGAATACACAATCAAGAAAAGAAGAGGGTAAAAGGACAGTCAGCCAAAGTCTGGAGGGTCCAAGCCTCTTTAAGATTAAAGGAAGCTGCAAGAAGTCCGTATTCTTGCATATTTTACATTTGTCAATGGAGCCCACACATTTACTGTTGACAGGAACGAGGGGTATAAACCGGAATGGTGATGATCACGGAGTAGTGATGATCTCCAACGACCTAATTCCTTTCAAATATGTACAGAACTGAAGAGCATAAGACCAATTGCAAATGAAGTTCCTGCAAGTGATGAAATGGTGCAAGGATCTTGAGTGCATGAGAAAAAATCCCTTGATTTTTAATCTCCTCCCTCTGAGTTAACGTAATTGTAATTGATGTTTCCTTCTCTTATTGTGATTAGCATTGTAGAATTCTATGAAACCTCTTGCTAAAGACCTTTATTTATGCATATAAAGTGGGTGTTTCCTGACTTCCTAAGTGTTTTGGTGTATCTGTTTTGCACCAATACTTGCTGCGATGTTGCATCATGTTGTTTTATTGAAGTTGTTTTCCCTATTCAGGAGCGGGAAAGAGATCACTTTTCACAATTCATAACGGAAGGATTTACATCATACTGTAAAAGGAAACGAAGGGACAAGGTAACGTTGTAATTTATATTCAGCAATTAATTCTTTCAACGTTTTGTTATTCTTTTTGCATTTTATCACACTTAATGTTCTTTCATAAACTCTTTATGATTTAAATATTTCTCTAGACTTCAAGTTCTCTAATTTGCTTGATTTGGGATGGCTGATTAAATGTCCAATGCTTATTAATTCTTCACTTTTATCTCAAAAAAATGTCCAATGCTTATTAATACGCTACAACTAATTTGGAGTTTAACTAGTGCTTTAACAACACAATATATTTCAAAAGAGAGGCAAACTTCATTGGAAATTGTTAGTGACTTTTGGTAGTATTAAGCATTTTGAATAATTTTTGTAGAATGTTTAGTTACCACGATGAGCATTTTCTTGACTTCCTGGGAAGTGATAAATTATTTTTTCTCCTTCCTAACTTGGAGGGTAGCTTAATTTAAGAATGCTGAAATTTATCGTGAAGTTATTACAAGAAAAATTTCTTTTGAGGTGGCATTTACAAAAACATCCTTTTAACTTAGGCATAATACAAAAATACCATTTTACTTTTTTTAATGAAAGTACTCTTTATATGTGCATTCTAATAATCTTGTATTAACTTTTCTTTAGAGTGCAAGATTAATATCTATACGGCATCAAGAGGATGAAGTCCATATACAAAACTTTTCTAGAATATTTATAAGATCCCCAAAGCCCTCAAGAGAATAAAAGGATGATCCTTAATTAAGAAACCCATGGGCTGGAACCATAAGTCCTTAACCCTATTAGTTTTTATGCTCTGAAAAACTCTGTTCTTTCCTCTCAAACTATCGAAAAGGTAGCCAAGACCTAAAGTCTTCTTGTAGCACATATTACAATGAATGCCTCTCTAAGCCTATAACTGATCTTATGCAGAACAATGATCACCTAACTCACCTCCAAAAGACCATAAGTCAAAGTCCATAGTTGATGACAAAGGGGACACAAAAGAAAGAGGTGATTGTTTGTCTGTCCTTGTTCTCTTGCAAAACTAGCACATGTTCACAATAATGTTTGCTCTTTTAATCAGATAGACTAGGGTTAAAATACATTACATCCCTTTGGTGCCTCCCAAACCGGAAAAAAAAAAAGCTAGTCTAGGAATGCATTAACCTTTTTTATATGTTTCTAGGGGAGCTTCTCATTTGGTCAAATCGCTCATAGGCAAATGAAAGTAATATTGTTTGATTGAAAGGGCACCTTCCGGATTCAACCTCCAGATGATTTCATCCAAGGCATCATGGGGCTTCGCCCACTGGATAAAAAATGAAATAGATTGAATTACTCGTTCATCTCCTATCTGTTGAGATTCTTGAACAGATCCACCGGCTTAAGACCGTTGCTGAAGGCACAAGAGGAATACTCCACCACCATTCACTGCAAGTTAAAGAATAAATCATGGGGAAACATTGCTCAACGGTCTTTCCTTCGCTCCAGTCATCCGACCAGAAACCTCACCTTCTGGCCTGATCCAACCTTCCATCTAATGTAACCATGAAACTTGTTCCTTCCCATGAATTTTTTTTTTCCCAAAAGTTTCACTCTTTTAGAAAGTCTAGAGACTAGAATACCATCCCCCAATGTTTGTCCCAATTTTGCTTTGATCACACTCTACCAAAAACTGTACCTGCTACTTCATTAGTTTCCAGCGTCACTTATCAAGAAGAAATTTGTCAAAATTAACCACTGATTTGATCCCAAGACCATCCCTCTAAATGGACCCTTGACTAGGAACTATTTGGGCTCTTATAAATTTAAGATGATGGCTGAAAACATAATTTACTGAGTCGTCAAAGAAGGGGAATTAGAAGTCTTTTGTTCAGTAATTTTGGTGTGAAATGGGTCTCCCTCAAAATCTTTTGAATTTTCCATTTCAGCGGGTTGAATGCTTTGAAAAGGTGCTATCTCTCCCTGTTTGTGATGTTGTAATTGGAGAGAAATGCTAACCTCTTTAACATCTGCTTCCAACCAGTTTAATCACTAAGAGGTACAATGGTTTTCCCAGTGTCTCTTTGAGCTATAGTTCATGATCTTCTTTAGTTATTTTGCGAAAAAGATTGAAGGTGAGAGAATTATCTCTTCGAAGCAAATTCACCTACAGCAGTACTTGGCTTCCTACAGCAGGGAGCAAATTCACCTTTGTATTAGGTCTCTAAGGAGGTTTTGGAAATATTTCCGCCAAACCCCACAAGTGGCCAGCATCATTCGCCATCACCTAGTCACTTATGGCCTCTCAGGAATATAAATCTCCCCCTCATATCACCCATACTCTGCATGATGACTACCCTGCTGATGCCTAAAGCCACTCACGTATGGCTTTTTTCCACCATGCTCCAGACTGAAGATCCAGTGCCCTTTTCCCAATAGAATTGCCTGAAACGATAGTCTAACAGCATCCTCTGCCGTTCTGCTAACACTGATGTTATTGATCTTTTTGCCTTTCAGCACAATTTAAAAGGATTTTCATTCAATGATTTTTAACATGATGAAGACCTGAGCATTGGCCAACTGGAGTTGGCATGGAACATGGACTTAGACCACAGAAGATGAGAGAGAGAATTTTCTTAGTGTAGGGAATGTTACCTAAAGTGAGACAGTATAATGGTCATCTAAGATAATGTTGGATATTTTGCTAGTAAATAAATAAGAGCATTTTTTTTAATTATGTTTCTAGTCAAAACAGTATTTCTGTAAATTTCCTATATTTTAAATTGAGTCCAATGTAGGTGTTTTTGATGACGAACTTATTTGAATGGATTTTAATATGTGTTGATTGATTTGTCTATATATACATATATACAATTAACGGAGAATGTTTTTGAGAAAAGTCTAGGAGAAGAAACTACTTCATCTATGGGTGTTAGAAATGGACTATGCCTATTATGGAGGGGAAAAGTTGGAACTCGGGAACTGTGCATGCCTATTTTATTTCATATCTTTATGAAAAGGAAAAAGATAAATGCTTCTCATGTTTTGGTCGTTTAATTAATGGTAATAGAATTTCCCTACGATAAGTATTTGGGTAGCTAAGGATTAGAAGATGCATGGCCTTAGGTTACATCAAATACAGAATGAAAATTGGACTAGTATAGGATTCTCAGAAGAGATTGTCATAATTCTTTGGCAGGAACAAGAACTTAGGATTTAGGCTAGCTGCTCATGGGATAATTTAAACATGAAAGAAGACTTGTATGGTTTGGATTCTGGAGTGTTAAGGGTGTTTATGGAGGACAATATATGGATTTAAATAAAGCCTGAAAGTTTTAAATCTTAGTAGATCAAGGACTCTGAATGAGTAACACGCGAGCTTCAGGATTTAAATCTTAGTTTTTTTTTTTCTAATTTCTGTTAAGAACATCTTATGGTTTCAAGAGCTGAATTTCTTCACCATTTTAAAAATAGAATATTGCTTGCATTATAAAGGTTTGAAGTGACTACAGCTGTGGGGATGATTAGCA